GGAGCCTGTTAGCCAATCATGGAAGACATGTTGATGAGCACCCCATGCTGGCTCTGTAATCAGAATGCAGACATGGACGGAAATGACTCTGTGGGGAACTTCCAGACGGAAGGAGATCCTCCCGCCTTAATTGCGTTTAGTAATCAGCCTTGGCTTAACGAAGGGGATGGGCACCTCATATTGTACTAGAGTTGTTAACAGGTGGTCTTTCAGAGAGGGATGTACTGGCAAACTCCACCCTGAAGCTTTATTTTTCTTGCTGCAGGTAGAAGAGCCTTCTGACTCTAGGTGAAACCCGTAAGGATTTGCTGGACTGGATCATGCCTGCTGCCTTGTTTTCTGTGTGCATACGTTGATCCTGGAGGTGCAGTGATGTACCTTTTGTTGTTGTTGTTTAGTCGTTTAGTCGTGTCCGACTCTTTGTGAGCCCATGGACCAGAGCACGCCAGGCACTCCTGTCTTCCACTGCCTCCCGCAGTTTGTTCAAACTCATGCTGGTAGCTTCGAGAACACTGTCCAACCATCTCGCCCTCTGTTGTCCCCTTCTCCTTGTGCTCTCAATCTTTCCCAACATTGGGTCTTTTCCAGGGAGTCTTCTCTTATGAGGTGGCCAAAGTATTGGAGCCTCCGCTTCAGGATCTGTCCTTCCAGGGAGCACTAAGGGCTGATTTCCTTCAGAATGGATAGGTTTGATCTTCTTGCAGTCCATGGTACTCTCAAGAGTCTCCTCCAGCACCATAATTCAAAAGCATCAATTCTTTGGCAATCAGCCTTCTTTATAGTCCAGCTCTCACTTCCATGCATCTCTACTGGGAAAACCATAGCTTTAACTATACGGACCTTTGTCGGCAAGATGATGTCTTTGCTTTTTAAGATGCCGTCTAGGTTTGTCATTGCATTTCTCCCAAGAAGCAGGCGTCTTTTAATTTCGTGACTGCTGTCGCCATCTGCAGTGATCATGGAGCCCAAGAAAGTAAAATTTCTCACTGTCTCCATTTCTTTCCCTTCTATTTGCCAGGAGGTGATGGGACCAGTGACCATGATCTTAGTTTTTTTGATGTTGAGCTTCAGACCATATTTTGCGCTCTCCTCTTTCACCCTCATTAAGAGGATCTTTAATTCCTCCTCACTTTCTGCCATCAAAGTTGTGTTATCTGCATATCTGAGATTGTTGATATTTCTTCCAGCAATCTTAATTCCGGATTGGGATTCATCCATTCCAGCCTTTTGCATGATGAATTTTGTTAAAGAAATAAATTGAATCTTTCTGGGAGCAGTCGCTGACCCCATAGAAGCTCCTATGGAGAGGACAGCTGTAGCCTTCTGCTGTTGGTTTGTTCTCATCCTGTGGTTTTTGGACATAGACTGCTTCTATATATTGAGGTTCCACTCAGATATCATAGCCATTCCTAGACCTCCCCTCCTCTGTGAATGCATTGCCCTTTTTCTAAATAATTTAGGGTAGAATTTTGTACGACTCTTTTTTTTAAAAAAACAACAAAGTAGTTCTAGGAAGCTTCAACTGGGAAAGGAGTAAATGGGTATTTAGGTCTTTCCCTGTTTGACCCCTCAAGCCGCTTTGCGGTCTGTGGGTTGATGGGAACACAGGTCCCCCTTGCAACTCTGTGCAAACTATGTCTGACCCCTCGGAAGGTCCTTGCCTGGTCCTTTCTCTGGGGCTCATGTTGCTTCCCTCTAATACCCAATCAACCCCAGTTACCTCCTGCATCCCCAAGAATGGGCTTCCAAGGAAATTGGCATGGCTGGGTCGCTTGCAAGGGAGAGCCAAGCATCTCTTGGTGCCCTCAGCTGGAATCAGAAGCCTGGAGAAACCCGACCAGGCAGCTGCCTTTCAGCCTGAGCTGGGCCCCGTCTCAGAGCATCGATCCGCCACCTGAGCACGACAGCCTGGAATAGCCACGGTTTTGTGTGGAAAGTGCCGACGCCAGCCCTTCTGGCTGAGATCCTATTATCGCCTAAATAACTGTATTGATTGGATTGATACTCTTTTCTTAGCGTTTTCTGTCTCATTATAAAACATAAGAGGCTGTTGAATGGGGGGGGCAAATGTGGACACACCCCCTTCCCCACACTGCCTTTTCATGTATAGAATTTGTGAGATTAACTTGCTTGTTGTATGGGGGCAGCAGGGGCTGGGAGAGAGCCCTGGTTTTGGCAGTCCGCATTTAATGAAAGGTGGATGTTATGTCCTGGAGTCGGTAGCTTTAGAAAAGCTAGTTTTAAGAAAAGGAAGGAAGGATCCCAGCCAGCCGGCCAGCCACCCCTAGCCAGCCTTCTGAATCCCCAGACCCCCCTGGGGATGAGACCAGGTTGTCTGAACTTCCCAGTTCCCTCTCTGAAGAGGCAAAGTTGCCAGATGAGAGTAGCAGGATCTGCCCATGGACAGCATCCATTTCGCAAGCTCTACAAGTCTGGCTGTACCATCGGCAGGGAGAAGTGGGCACCTCAGGACGCTGAGTCTGGGAGTCGCAAAAGAGCAGCAAGTTGTTAGCTAATGTGTTAGGATTTTATTTCTTCTGCCAGGAAGATAGAAGCACTTGGGGAGTTTCCCACTGAAGGTGGCAAAGCAACTTGCCTGACTTTGGGTGCAGTCAGGGGCATTCTGAGTGGGGACAGGGGGACGGTCTGCCCTGGGTACCATTCCAAAATGCTGACCCCTGATTGGTGGCACCTCGTGGGATGTGCGCTGCTCTGGGTACCAGAGCAGGTTGCTTCGCCTCTGGGTGCAGTTCATCTTGGCTTGCATGGGGGTAGGCAGGGATGGATCCATCCCTCTCGATTCTCTCAGTTTCTCATTCCCCCCCCCCCATCTTAATTCCAGTTCTCCATATTTCTGCAGGAATTTTCAATTTATTTTTCAAAGAAAAGCCTTGTGCAAATTTGCCGGTGTCTCTGTGCAAATTTTCCCCCAATAAAGACATTTTTGCGTGCAGTTTTGCTTAACATACATATCTTTTTAAAAAAAGTTTTCTTCCCATATAATAATATATCTTCGAATGCTGTTTTCGCTAATATATGCATACTTAAGCATTCTTTGTCCTAGTGATGCATTATTATTTTTTGCACACTTTACTTGGAGGGGGCAAGGATAACTGCATTGCAAAAGTTGGGAGAAGTGCGAATTTTGACGGGTGGTTGTTTTTCAGTTTTGCATCTCGTTTCAGAAAGTGCAGATTTGGCCTGTTCTCCTTTTAAATGTGAACTTAATTGAATTTCCTCTCCATCCCTGAGAGGGATTGAAAATGTCTCAGGCAGCAAAATGCCCTGGGCTGACTGGATGTTTCTGACTCCCCCTGCCACATTCCTCCCCTGTATTTGGTGGGGGCAGGTGGCTAAATGATGCTGTTTACAAGGTGGAACCGGCAGATTAGGAATTGTGTTTCCCCTACCTGGATTTTGTACAGGAGAACTTCTTCTGTCTGTGGAGTTTGCGGCAGCTTTTAGTTTCTTCATTTCCTTCTTATCTCTGCTCTGCAACCGAACACCCCCAAAATGTGAGTGCACCTTGAATTAAACAAGGCAAAAGAAAAGAAATCTCTGCGTGCTCCTGTGCACAATCACATTAATATTATATATATATAATTCTACCACCTTTCTTCTCCAAGGAACCTAAGATGGTGCACATGGTTCTTCCTCCTCTTTTAATCTCCACAACAAACCTGTGAGGTCGGTTAAGCAGAGAGGCAGTGACTGGCCCTCACTACAATGAGATCCAAAGCCAAATGCAAACTTGAACCCTGGTTGATATTTTATATTAAAGAGTAGGGTGTGTGTTTGTTTTGCAATACTTTAGCACTGAACACATGGGAAGGCAGAGTAAACTAGAGGAGTAATAAAGGCGCAGAGAGTAAGAGCATATTGTCATCCCGCACATGAGGTTTAGGGCTGAGGCCTCTGGATCCAGCCACCAATGCACTTGAACAATCCTTGATGTCCCAGGCATTTTCAGAAAAAGCAATGGTAGCCGTTCCGGCCACATAAGAAAAAAAAAATCAAAAATCTGCATCAAATTGTGTGCAAACATTTGAGTTTTCCAGAACTCTTCATCAGGTAAACAAAGGGTTGTCGAGTGCGGGGGGAGAAATAGCTGGTGCTGGAGCCACCTAAGTCTGCAACTAGTAGATCAATTTTTACTTTTGTTAATATAAAACCGCCTCCTAGCCTCTCTTGACTTCTGCTTCCCGCCCACCAAGGAACCCACCAAGGATGGAGACTCACCTGAGCAACCTGTTTCTCCTTCCCAGCAGGTCTTGCTACCACTGAAGCCCTGCATGGTGTCTCACAGAGAGCTCCATTGGATTGGGCGGTACCCAAGTGTTAGGATATAGTTCCATTCCACCTTTAGAGCAGGCATGTGGAGTTGTTGTATGTCACATGTCTGTTTACTTCCAGCACAGTCTGCTGGGAACTTCCGTTGTATATAGCTTTTGCCTATGCTGCTGTTTGCTTGGACATGAAAGGAAGCAGACATGTTTTCCTTTGTCCTGATGCTGAATAAATGCCTGTAAATATGCTTACATATGCCTCTGTCCGCTACTTCCGTTGCAAAGAGTTCTTATCTCTGCTGGCTTGCATGCTCAGTCTCTAAAGGTTTCTGAGGCTTGAGTCGCAGTTTTTGATACTGTTCAGAGAACCGGAGTTTGCCCGGCTGCTGGCCAGAGGGCTGGAGCCAGCTGGGGGCCTGCCAAATGCCCCCGTCTCCCCGGACACATCCCCTCCTCAGAGAAGAGTCACTGAAATTCATGAAACCTAAGCCAGTGGTGCTCCTTTTTCTTCAGTGGGACTGCTCTTGATAGGAACAGCATTGGGTGTAACCCAGGGTCTGTCAACTCCTTTTACAGCCTGCCTTGAGACTCTCTCCAGATGCAGTGTTTAGCAGCACCCAATCTTTTTCTCTATGCTACTCTCGGGCCCTCTGCCTGTGTTTTACCATCTAGCTGGGGAACTCTAAAGCTTGCACATTTCGGAGTGCTTGGGGAGGGGCCATCTTGTCTCAGTGGCAGAGCATCTGCCTTGCATGTAGAAGGTCCCAGGTTCAAACCCTAGTGGCATCTCCAGGTTGGGCTGGGAGAGACACCTGCTTGAAACTCTGGAGAGTTGCTGCCAGCCAGTGTAGGCAACACTAATGATAATGGTCTGGCTCAGTATAAGGTAGCTTCCACTGTTTTGTGCCACTTTGGTTAACCTAATAAAATAATTACCCTACCACTGATAATTGGAATTAAGAGTTAGTGTAATTTTGATTGTTTTGGTGGCAGTGTTGCTAGTGGGCTTGAATGAAAAGTGGGGTGTACCCTGTTTAGATTGGCCTTTCTCAGCCTTAGGGACGCGGGTGGCGCTGTGGTCTAAACCAGATCAGAAAGTCGGCGGTTCAAATCCCCACAAGGGGTGAGCTCCCGTTGTTGGGTCCCAGCTCCTGCCTACCTAGTAGTTTGAAAGCATGTCAAGTGCAAGTAGATAAATAGGTACTGCTCCAGCGGGAAGGCAAACAGCGTTTCTGTGCACTGCTCTGGTTCGACAGAAGCGGCTTAGTCATGCTGGCCACATGACCCAGAAGCTGTATGCCGGCTCCCTCGGCCAATAAAGCGAGATGAGCGCCGCAACCCCAGAGTCGGCCACGACTGGGCCTAATGGTCAGGGGTCCCTTTACCTTCTCAACCTTGGGTCCCCAGATGTTGTTGGATTGCAACTCCCATCATCCCTGACCACTGGTCCTGCTAGCAAAGGATGATAGGAGTTGTAGTCCAACAACACCTGGGGCTCCGAGGTTGAGAAGGACTTGTTTAGATAGATAAATAAGTTACTGGGGATGGAGGGGCTCCCGCTTCCTAAGCCTTCGCCACCTGGGATAAGAACTCAAGGTATATCTGCTACTTCTCCCTCTGGAAGATTCTTTTCCCTTGCTCAGCAGTCTCCGCTGAGCCTCAAACTCTGACAACTCCTGATGAAACAAAGCTGCCGTAATTTACGGGATTTTTGAGATAAGGTCGGAGCAGAAGACAAGGGAGAAGGGCTCCCAAGCCTTGCCATTTTTCATGTGGTGGAATTGACCGGCGCCGTATATCTTACGAGAGCAGCTCTCGGACAGCATTTATTATCTCCCATGAAAATGAGCTTTTCAGCTTTGATAAAAAATTAATACAAGTAAATGTCGACCTTTTTCTCTGCTTATTGAATGTCAAGAAAGCTGAGCTCCATGGGCTCGTTTTGAACTTTGGTAAATTTCTCCAGACTAATCAGAAGAGACGAACGGGCCCCCGTTTGGGTTTTGGGGAGGCATGAAAAATTTATTGGTTGATTGTGGGCAATGTAAACTTGGTATTTTCGCCGAGGCCTGTCCAGAAAAGCTTTTCTTAAAGGCTTACTTACTGTCACGGCTGCCAAGGGCCGGTGAGCTATAGCAGGAGGCTGGGAGGCTTTTAAATTGGAACAGGAAGATTTAATACAGGCATACACAATAATTTGCTTTTAGCTGTATAAATAGCATAACAAGCAGGGAGTTGTCCAGAGGACGCTTGAAGGTCAGACCTCTTCATGTTTGGAGCACACTTAGTGGTGGGCTACGAGAAGTGGCGGCAGGAAGGACCTGATCCGGGGCCATCAACTGCTTCTAAAGGAGGGCAGAGAGGACTGAGATGCAGCCTGGGTAGGCCAAAGAGGGGGAGCTGCCAACTTAACTATACTTTGATTTTTAGCCAGTTTCTCTCAGAAGGGAATTACTTATGGGCACTAAGTGGAGAACAGCTTAAGGGGGTTGGATTCTCTCCCCAGCTTTTGCCAACATCATTCTACTCTGTCGCCTCTACCTTGACCTCTGCAAAGCAGTTTTAAGCCTTTCTCCAAATCCTAAACTGACGTGACACAGGGAGGAACCTTAATAGTTGGAACCGCATAAAAGTGAGAGCTGGTGTGTGTGTTTGTACACATGTGTGTATGTGTGGGTGTGCATGGCCTATGTACAATATCCAAAGGGGCTCAGCCCCTCTCTCTGCCTTCTGCCTTCTCCACAACAGCCCCTCCCTCCCACTCAGGAGTTTAAATTGATCATGCCCAGGAAAGGCTTTGAATGCTGATAATTATTAATTCTCCAAAGTGTAATGACTTCTTATCTTTAAAGATAATCGAGGGGTAGGATGAAACTAAGGGCCATCAAATGAATTGGCTCACAGCAAAGTTGGAAACGTTCCATTTTCTTTTCTTTTCTTTGCATTCGTTTCCATTCTGGTCAGAGGACAAAATGCATCACGGGCTAACAATGGGGAGGATAAAAAAGCAGCCGTAGGAAAAGAGCCAGAGAGAAGCAAACAAAACGCTAGGTGTGGAAGTTTACGATGCATTTCGGAGAAGTCCCTTTTTGAGCAAGGCTCTCTGTACCACAAAAGGAGAGAGGACATTATAATAGGAAAGAACCTGCATCTTCTAAAGCTAGGACTGTCTGCTAGGAGTGGGCAGTAGGAACTGTGCCTTCCTTGAAGGTGCTCGGAGAAGAGTCCTTCCCATTTTGCTTTAGGCCAGAAAATAGTCTTCTAAATTTCTTTCATCCCCACATGTGATCTATGGGGCTGAGGCCTCTGGAAGAAGGGACAGGACTCTCCCTGAGCTGGCCTGAAAGGACCAGGGGTCTTAGTGGGCAGGGAAAGAAGCAGTGGGATCCTAGAATCGTAGAGTTGGAAGGGACCCCAGAAGTCATCTACCCCAACTCCCTGCAATGCAGGAATCACAAGTAAAGAATCCCTGACAGATGTTTGGATTTGAAGAAGAGTTTGGATTTGATATCCCGCTTTACCACTACCCGAAGGAGCCTCAAAGCGGCTAACAATCTCCTTTCCCTTCCACCCCCACAACAAACACTCTGTGAGGTGAGTGGGGCTGAGAGAATTCAGAGAAGTGTGACAAGCCCAAGGTCACCCAGCAGCTGCATGTGGAGGAGCAGAGACGCGAACCCGGTTCACCAGATTACGAGTCTACCGCTCTTAACCACTACACCACACTGGCTCTCATACCTTTAAGCAAAGGTTCATCCAACCTTTGCTTAAAAACCTGAAATGAAGGAGGGTCCACCACCTTCCAGTGCAATGTGTGTCCAGCAAAGTCCCACCCAGCCCTGGAGGAGAGAACATCTTGATTTATGCATACTTCCACACAGCATCTTCCAAGATCCACCTTCAGGGGCCATAGGAGGAGGCAGGTAATGAAGAAGACCCTGTGCAGTCCCCAATATCATCACTGCAGAGAAAAAAAGGTACCCATGGGGAACGTAAAGTATGACCCATTTCTGCACCACCTCTGCCACTTGGCTCAGTAGTGATCAGCAGAGAGATTGGCAGTCAAGTCTCCATGTGGCTTGTGGATCCTCGTCACCTGGTTGTGATGCTGTGCTAGAAGTATACCACAGTTGCAATCCTATATATTCTTATCCTAGAGGATAGGGGAGCCCCATTGGACTCAACAGCCAGAGCTGAAAGAAAGTTACTCCCATATGTTCTCCAGATGTGCAGTTATTTGGCTGGTACTCGATACACTCAGGGCCGGCCCTCGCATTAGGCAGAGTGAGGTGGCTGCCTCAGGCGGCAGGTGCTGAAGGGCGGCAGTGGAAGGAAGCGCTGAGTATCACACATGTCCGGGCCTCAAGCTCCACTTCTGCCCTGTCACCAATGCTGGTGAGATTCAGCTCCCAGCCTAGTCAGCTTCTCTATGTGAAACTGCTGGGAGGGGATGGATCTTGTCCTTCACCTCAAGGCAGCAAAACGTTTTGAGTCAGCCCTGAATATTCCAAGTCAGCATTTGACATCCAATGATATTTAGTATCAATATTTCACTGCTGATGTGACTTGCCAGTTGGTATCTGATAGCATTTGACAGCTGATATGCAATCGCAGCCAGACTTTGACAGCATCTGACATGTCGCATGTCAACCTGTGACGATATTTCACATTAGGCAACAGCAGCAGCCTCAACGTATGTGACAGCCCCCAAGTCAGCTGACTTTCTGCAGCATTTAATATGGGGTGGGGGGTGAGGTTGCTCATTCATTCCATTTGCTCCCTGATCTCGAACCTCAAAATAATCTGAAACCCCAAATGGTTAAATATTTAGTTCCATGCCAGATTCCAGCTTTGAAACCCAGATGTCAAGTCTTGGAGGTCTGGCCCCAGCGATGCTTTCGATTTGTGAAATTTGAAATTTTGTGGGAATTTGAACCCTTCCACTCTGCACGATTGGTCATTACAGTTTAATGATTCTTCTGTGTATGGTGGAGGCTGGTACCCATTGTGGCTTGTAGGACAGAAGGCAAGGAGCCCAAACAACAGATGGAGCAGGATCCAATGACAGACAGAGCCTACCCTTGCTCCTTTTGCTCCCATCCTCCTCCCTGCTGAGCTCCAGAAAGGGCAAGACTGAAACATGTGAATGAGGAGGAAGCAGGCAGGGGGCCTGCTCGGTGGTGGTGCCCGCCCTGTGGAACGACCTCCCATCAGATGTCAAGGAAATAAGCAACTACAGTGGTGCCCCGCAAGACGAATGCCTCGCAAGACCAAAAACTTGCTAGACGAAAGAGTTTTCCGTTTTTTGAGTCGTTCCACAAGACGAATTTCACTATGGGCTTCCTTTGCAAGACAAAACGTATTGCGAGTTCTTGCGAGTTTGTTTCCTTTTTCTGAAAGCCGCTAAGCCGCTAAGCCATTAATAGCCGCTAAGCCGTTAATAGCCGCTAAGCCGTTAATAGCCGCTAAGCCGCTAATAGCCGTGCTTCGCAAGACGAAAAAACCGCAAGACGAAGAGACTCGCGGAACGGATTAATTTCGTCTTGCGAGGCACCACTGTATCTGACTTTTAGAAGACATCTGAAGGCAGCCCTGTTTAGGGAACTTTTTAATGTTTGATGTTTTATTCTGTTTTTAATCTGTTGGGAGTGACCCAGAGTGGCTAGCCAGATGGGTGCAGTATAAATTATTATTATTATTATTATTATTATTATTATTATTAGGCAGTTGGACTAGGTTTAAGCGAGAAGGCAAGCAAGTCAGGGCTGGCTGAGGTTGGTGGGGCAGCA